CAAATGTGCTTGGAAATTTGGACATTCATAATTCTACAATTTTATATGGTATAAAAATTCAAACGACTCCACAGGTTAGTTAGAAATGCCAGCTACTTATGCAACGTAATAATTCAATGTTATTCTACCTCATTTTATTTTTATCTTAGGGAACCAAATCAGCATTCCAGTTTAAGAACTTAATTCACAAGATATCAAAACTACTTAAAATAGGCTGTAAAGTTTGGGATAACATAGTTAAATATTCAAGGCCAAAGAGAAAAGTTAATAATTACAAAAATTAAGAATTGAGATAATTTAAGTATATTCTCTGGAACTTCTACTCATAATTTTAAATGTCACGCAGCATAGTACTCTTCAATGCAACATGTACACTTTAATTTTTTAAGTGTCAGTTTGAAATAACTAAGTGGTTTGTAGTATAAGCAACAATTTGTACTTAAAAACATATATGCAATTATAGTATAACACAGCTATTCAATAAAATATTTCCCTCTGTCAAAACAACTGACACAGTAAACAGAAGATAAAAAGGTGTATTCCAAAAACTTCCCATGAATGTCCTGAAAGATATAATAACTGCTATAAGGACAAATTGTTGGACAAAATAAAACAAAATGTTTCAGGATTCAAAACTTAAATGGCTCAGAATCTCTCAAAGTTATAGACAATGTGCTTGCATTAAAAAAAAATCAGAAAATCTCTTGGTATGTTAGCTTAGCAATACCATCGAACTCGGCAAAAAAATAATATTTCATTATCCTAGTCCTTTGCTTTCTTCTAAAAGTCCCCTCCCCTTTTTTAGTACTCAATTCGAACCCAAATTTAGACAACGGGTCCGAGCGAAGGGGAAGGATGGACAATAGTTTCATTTCTTCTCCGCGTTGCTATAGTTTATGATCCACTGCCCTAAAGAAACGTTTTTTGTTTTTTTTTACTTCCACGCAGCGCCTCTGAACAGGAGCCTCTCTCTCTTGTCAAACCCTCATTCTCCGCAATACTCTCAAACCACGACCGGGACGTTTTGGGAAACAAGTAAGGCGAGCAAAAAAACCGCTTTTTGTCCCCGTGGAAACTCAGGCGCTTCATCACCCCTTTCATTCTCACGTGTCTCTCTTTCACAACCTCCCAATTCCCAGCTTATTCTGTAGCTGTTATACTACAATGCCTTGCTCGGAATCTAGGCGGAAGGACCCTCCACGCCACCGGCAGGACCCCGCGCCCCCTGCTCCCTCTCCTTGGTGTCCTTCGGTTTCTTTTAGCCCCAGCGCTACGCATCCTTTGCGGGCCCCTTCCCAAGCCAGCCCACCCTCCTACCCCGGGTCAAGCCCCATCATCCCCGCCTTAAGGTCCCAAAGTCCCCTCACCCTGAGCTCGCCCCCACCCCCGCCCGTCCGTCCACTGGCGCCTCTCCCGCACCATCCCGCACTCACATCGGCTCCAATAACTTGGCCAGCCAGGACTTGAGCGCGTCCACGTTCTCTATGATCATGGCGAGGAGGGTCGCGGCGGCGGCGGCGCTGCAGTTACACTTCGGACAACATCCCTCCTCCCTCCCCCCCCTCGCGTTGACTCCGGTCCCTTCTTCCCTCTCCCGCCAAGTAGTCACTCGCCAGCAGCAGCAGCACTCTAACTCTCGCCCCTCCCCCGTTTCGCCGAGCCTGGGCCTAAATCAGACCAGGAACTAGCTAAACCGAGAAGGGCGCAACGCAACCTGCTGGGTATCGGAGAAGGGGCGGGCACCCGGTTTCGCAGCGGAGCCAATCGGACGACGGAGCTTCGAGGAGAGCCAGCCAATCGCGCGACAGCGCCCTCGAGTGAAGGGAACCAATCCGAAAGCTGCTGGGAGTACAGTAGCAAGGGATGAGTGGGGGAACGGGAACCGGTGGGAGGCCTCAGCAGGTTAGGTCGAGCCAACACGCATTGAGACCTTTGTAAAGAGAGCTCCTAATTGAGGAGAGCTGACGCCGAAGCGCGGGTGGTTGGAATACGTGAAACCGCGCAGCGTAAAAAGTGTTGTTTACGAGCCTTTGCCGAATACATTCCTACGTACAACTCACGTTAATCTGGCACAGATCGAGTCGGAAATGATTTGCGTTCTGTGCACGGTGTCGTGCTAATTCCCCAAGGGTGAATTTTTCCCTACACTATTTTCAGCAAATGCGTGGTGATTAACTTATTAGCATTAGGGAAGACTTTGTATTGAGTACACGAACGATTCTCTTCAAGTGCATAACTAAATTGCACATGGCTACAATCTCGCCTCTCCCAATAATTCTCATACTTTCTAGCATTGGATATAACTTCAAGCATGAAGTTAAGATGAAAGCTAATATGCCATAAATTTACATCATCTAAATCCCCCAAGAAACAACATACTATGTGAGGAAAGCAGTATCTATCAATCTTGATATGTAACTTGAAAATATTTACCAAAATACATATGATTTGTATGCAATCATGTACAGTATGCACATCTACACATGCACAGAAAAGCCATAGTAGTATAACAGTTTAAATGTTTGGAATAGGATGGGAAAAGCCACTTTCAGCCATAGATACCCAATGAATTAGGCCAATCACTCTTAGTCCAATCTATTTTATTGTGTTCTAGGGATAAAATCAAGAGAAATACATCTAAATATTTTGAATTCCTGGCTATAATGAAATTAACATCAGCAACTGGAATTTGTATACAAAGACATTACATTTGACCCTTCCCATTTATGCTAATCCTAATATTTATTGATAAACGTTTAAGCTGTATTATTTTGTTCTATGCAGTGCTGGTTTTTATGAATGTTACTTAATAAAATGTTCTAAGCAAAATAATGCAATAATTTTATTTTCATTCATTTATCAAGATAGCCAAATTGACAGAAATCAGATGATACAGAATCTTGAAATTAGAGTTGGAAAATCAGGTGATGCAGCAAAAATAGTAATATAAATACATTTTATTTTTAGGTGCTCATTTAGCAAGTTATAACGCAAAATATTAAAGCATATTTTCAGTAAGAATATTTATTGTTTCATGAAGCTAAAGAACAAAACTACAAAAATATTCTTTATTTCTAACATTGTTCAAAAGTTTCCTTGTGTTTTAAATTTCTGCTATGGATCTAAAGGAATTTTAAATGAATATATCAACCATCTCTTCTGTAAACAGAACACTCTTGGAGCATATATTAAAATTTCCAGGCATCTTATTGTTAGATATTCCCCCCCCCCCCAGAGGTTTCCACCAAGGTCCTCTGCTCCGGCGGGAACAGAGGTTTAATCCCATTGGTCAAAAGATCTGACAGATCCCTTTAAAAGGGGATGCTGCCAGACCCTTCAGCCGGATGCTTACCTGACTTGTAATAAAGAGCTGTTGTTACTAGAGCCTTTGTGTACCTTTCCTTTACCCGATCTAACACTTATATTATTTGACTATTTCATATTATTTAAAATTAGATAGTGCTCCTTATAATATAGTATATTCATTTGAAATTTGTGGGAGGGTTAATTCTGTAGGCTTGGAATTGTCTACTCAAAAGTAGGATTTATATTCATCATTAGTTTATTGTAAGATAGTGAATTTATGAATGTAGCCAAATAATGTAAGTACAGTAATTTCAGTAAACACTAAACAGTAAACTAAAGACAGACGTATCACAGACATCTTTGGAAGTAATTTTTCACTGAAGGAATTTTCAGGGCTAATACTTGCGATGAATACGACAAATGAATCTGTGAACTATTTTAGTTTCCCAAATGCCTATCATTGATAGGTTCTCTGGATTTAGAAACTAAAAAGGCACTTCCTGTCATATTTTGAATGCTATTGCTGCATCATTACTGCACAAGATAAGTCTAATTTTGTTAGTGCTTTGATTCCGTGCATATTGTTATGTATGTGCAGTATAGTATAGCAAAAGTAATATTGCTTATGTAGTAATAGAGATTTCAATGGGGTTTATTTTCTAATAATTTTGAATTTTTAACTGCATATAAGTATAAATACAAAATACCATCTTCTATTCTTTTGTGTGTGTGTATGTGCAAGGTTTATAAGAAAACTATTTTAAATAAAACTGAAAAAACATCAATGTTGTATAACAGTCCATTTTTCTAGAAATACCTATTTTTATCCTCATGTTAATTTTTTCTCATCAATACTGTATGATTTTTTCATATGAACAAGGATATGTTACTTAGTAAAAATATGCTCTGCCTCACTGGCAATTTTGAAAGCTTGCATACTTTTAACAAGAGATGGCTTAATAAAACCCTTTATCTCTTGGAATGCTTTTTCACTTTGAGAAACATTGCAATATGACATCAAATTGAACATCAAGTGGCACCGAAAAACTTCTTGGATATATCACAACTTATGCATACTTAGGAAACTTTCAGAAAAAAAATAGGATAGTGAGCCTCACATAGGACTATGTGGCTTATTTTTGCTCCTGCAAAATGCATTCCTTTGGCATGCATTTTAGAATCAACTCCTAAATGATAGTGATCATATAATCCAACCAACTTGAATATCAAAATTATAATTAGTTATATTTACTTTACTAGAAGACATTTTTTTTCTGTAGGAAGAAAAGTATTTAAAAACAATTAAAAGAATGGAAACACAACACTGAGTACATTTGCAATTTTGCAACAGCTTCTGAAAAGTTTTTTCACCTCTATTTCTTCCGCTTATGACATCAAATATACATAAACACAAATATCAGAAAGACTGAAACGTAAGATTTGGATACTCCTATCGGTGAGCATCGATAGGTTTCAACCTCTCGGTGCATTATGGGAAACGTAGTATTCAATTCCAGACCTCGCGGTTTGTGCGGGGGAAAAAGATCCCACGCGACAAGCACTGTAAAGTAACGCTTGGTTTGTAGCGAATTGTAGTTCAGCTGGCGGGTACCTTGCACAGTGTTAGCTCTGCGCAAACTCAACATCCCAAAAGTCTTTGCGAAGGAACCGGATCCACCTTTAGTTTAAATGCATTGTGGGAGAACCGGCGGCGTGGAGTAGGGGCGTAAGCTTGCAGGTGGAAGTCTTTCAGACTCTCGAGAAGCGATGACGGTGAATATCGGGTGACAGCTCGCCTGGATTGATTTTAGGGGGTTTAGCTAGCAATTGGGCCACGAGTATGGATCGGAGGATGACGGAAAAAGCAGAAAAGGGGCGAAGAGGCCTCCCCCACTTCCTTCTTATGCTGTCATTTATTGAGATATACCCAGAGCTGGGACGCATCACTTCACTTACAAGGAGGCTGGTTGGAATACTCCGGGTTAAATTCCACGTGGTTTATAAACGGATACTAAATAAGCAGAGTTGTAATGCTATTTACGACGGGTAGCATAAAATAGTTCTTCCTGAGAATTGTCCGAAACGCTTGCATTTTTTGCAAGACATCTGGTTGGGGAAAGTTGATCTAATGAAGCATTCTCGTTGCCACCTTGTATATGAATTCCCATATGGAACATGCTGACTAGGGATTAAAGGAATTGAATGCTTTTATGACTAGGTTATGGCTAGGTTATCCTGTGCTGGAGGCATATTGCGAACAAAGATAAAAGAATACATGGAGGCTTCTTTTCAAATATTTCCTGTTGCTTGTTGTACGATACCAGACTATTTGTCCTCCGGGATTGGGCGGCCTATAAATCTAATAAATTGAATTGAAAATTGAATTATTATTTTGCTTGGGTTTGTTTGGATTAACTGGATGACTTTCTGGTTAATATCTCATTTGCAGACTTCAACAAAAGAAAGGTCTTTTGCACAAGTATCTAGGAAATCATATCCAATTTACAATGGTACAGTCAAGTGAGGACAGGACCCCTTTTCAGAGGTGGGGTGGGGAAGAGTTCATTTTTTTTGGAGATCTGTCTTCTGTGAAATTTATTAGGTTTCTGTTTTTAAAAAGAAAAGTTAGAAAAGTTCTTATGACTTTTTAAGAGTATAGATTATGCTGTTGTTAGCACAAACCAGTAAGATGTTTTACATATAATGAAAATATTATAGTAAATTTCACCCAAATTTCAGAGTGAGACATTGATAGCTTTATCCTAAGTGTGATTCCCTGATTAATGAAAATAATAGTTTTTAGATAAGTTTTGATTTGTTTACCTGCTTTGTGGGTTGGTTAGCTGTTTTGCTTTGATTGTAAGCTGCTGTTTAACCAAAAGGGAGAAGTAAATATGATTTGATAAGTTCACAGGGCATTTTAGGTGTCATTGGAGTTGTCATGTAAATTTCCAACTGATGTGCTGATTGTAAACATAATACTTTTTTGACATTGACTTTTGGTTCAATATATAGCAATATGACAAGTGGAACTTTTCTGCTTCATTAATTAAGAACAATTGCCAGATTGATATTCAGCTTGCATAACATCCCACACTGTTATTTATATTTACTAACGATAGTTGCACATCTCCAATTGCCATACAGAAGGGAACAGGGCATCAAATAAAATTAAGCAATTTGTCTCAAATTGTGAAACACAATGTCCATTTTTAAAAGAACTTTCCTTTTAGGCTAATACAAGTTGTCCTCAGTGAGTTCTCATTCAGCGACCATTCAAAGTTACAATGGTGTTAAAAAAAAACCCTCATAGTTGGTCCTCAATGTTGTGGCCATTACAACATCCCTGCAGTGATGTGATTGCAATTTGGGTGCTTGGCAACTAGTACACATCTGTGACATTTGCAGCATCCTGCTGTCATTTGATCACTGTTTACAACCTTCACAGCTGATTTCCAACAAGCAGAGTCAGTGGGAAAGCTGCAGGAAGTCCCAAGTCACAGTTATATGGCATTGTGTTTAATGGGTGATTCACTTAATGACTACAGAAGGAACTGATGTCATAACTGAATTCATAATTGTCACATGCTGTTTAACTTTCATGTCTGTATCGCTTAACAAGAGTTGCCATTTCCAATTGTGGTTGGTAAGTGAGGACTAGCTACATACTCTTAACACTGTAAATGCTATCAAATGTCTATCAAATAGAAAAATAGTAGTACAATAATTGAGTAAATGTGAAAATATGATCAATTTTTTTATTTGCACTTCTTTAGATAAATGGGACTTTCATTATCCAATCAATGTGAAAGTGTAAATCCCCAACTAATATGTAGTAATAATTTATAAAATGTGACAAGAACTAAAATGAATTACTGAACTGGCACAACTTGATTTTTTGCAGTCTTAAATTTCTTAACAAAATAAGTACTATCTAAACTCAAATGAAAAGGAAGGCAGTAATTTTATTTAATTGATAATATTTTTAAGTTTGTAATATTTTTGAATTTTTTATAAGTGATAATACCTGGATAATATTATAGAGTTAATATTCAGGGTATAATGTTTGTGTGGAAATTCAAAGTTCTTGCACAATAATGTTACAACATACTATACTAACATAAATTATATTATTTAAGCTAATCACACTAATTAGGGATTATTTGTTCTTTTAAGGAACGGAAAGGGACAGCTAAAGTCGACTTCTTGAAAAAAATAGAAGAGGAAATCCAACAGAAATGGCACAATGAAAGAGCATTTGAAGTTAATGCACAAGATGTAGCAAGTCACAAAAGGTGAGAATACTCATTTCACATGTGGCTGAGAATTTCAATATTTGAGTGTGTAAATTTTAAATCTAATGGGATTTAAAAAAAAATAGCTATGCATTTAATAGTAGAAAATTAGTATTAAACAACATTTAAATTTAATTTTTTGAGTAGTAGCAAGCTAATGGATAGTATAATGAGTCACACAGAATCTGTCTCTAATAAGATGTTTTCCAGATACAATATGGGAACTAATATAGAAGTTTTCCTGCCTAAAGGGTGAATGCAATATAACACTTTCCTTAAAAGTATTCCTTCAGAAAGATGAAGTCCATATGAGATGTAAGGCCAGATTAGGTGCTAGGAAATCCGAAAATGACATTCCATATACGACTAAAATATGTGTCTCATTGGAAACATCAAATTCAAAGTTGGCTAATATCTGTCATTTTGTCTAATGAAAACTGAAATACAAGTAGTCCTGTATTTACAACCATTCTTTTAGTGACTGTTTGATGTTCCACCAGCACTGAAAAAAGTGATTCATAACCATTTTTCACACTTACTACCATTGCAGTGTCCAGCAAGAAAAATAATAAAATGAGGCAAAACTCACCTGTCTTGCTTAGGAACAGAAATTTTGGGCACAATTGTGGTCGTAAGTTGAGGACTACTTGTACTAAGAATTGATATTCTGGCATATAGGTTTCAAATGTGCATCTACATTTCTGAAATCTCCAACTTGATTCCTGACCTTTTCGTTAAGAAGAATTTAAAGAAATAGATGACAAATACATAACAACTTGCTAGAACAGTAGGAAGGTTGGTATCTCAACAGAGATAGACCTGTAGATTTCTTTTTCTGAACAGCTGAATCAGAAATGCACATACATAAATGTATATGATATAATATAATATTATAGGGTATAATTATCTTAATGTTTGTTTTCATTATGCTGTCCATAAAAAGTTAAGAGCAGTGACACCTTCTTGTGAATCAGGTCCAAATGTAGCTGACGACATGGCAATATCCATGTAGTTTTCTTGATAATGGTACGGAAGTGGTTTGCTACTGCTGCCTCAATTAATTTCTGGTTTGACCTACTGTTCTGGGATTTCTAGTAATTTTCAATCCAGCTGAACAAGGCTAGGTAAGTGCTGCCATCTAGCTGAGTGCATTTAAAAGAACTTGGATTGAGAAATTCTGAGTGAAAATCAAAATTAAGCATGGCATTCTACTACATAGTTTTATAATTTGCTTGTGGGTACCATTTAATTATTAGTTTTTTTTCTCTTTGTAGCAAAAACGAACAGAGGGGAAAAATGAGTTTATATCTGATTGGAATGTTCTAGCAGAATGAAGTTCCTTTGCATGCAACTATACATGTCTCAAATTTGGAGAGTTGTAGGATACATACATATATACAGTACATGCATGTATGTGTATGTATGTATGTATACAAATACGTATACACACACACATACATACTTAGTAAAGGTAAAGTCTAATTATGTCTGGCAGTGCTCATCCCCGTTTTTTTAGACAGGGAGCCACAGTTGTGGCCAGCATGACTATATGCTGAGGTGTAACACTTACCTTCCCACTGAAGTGGTATCTATTCATCTATTCTTATTTGCAAGCTTTTGAACTGCTAGGTGAGGAGGAGCTGGGGCAAATAACGGGAATTGACCCCTTTGCACAGTGCTTGGGCTTGAACCTAGACTGCCATCTGATAAGCTCAGTGTGTGTGTGTGTGTGTGTGTGTGTGTGTGTGTGTGTGCGCGCGCGCGCAGAATTTTCTTTTTCAATTATTTCTCCTTCATTCGGACCAAAATTTCCAGTAGTCTCTCCTAACTTTTTGTGAAGCTTTTCAGAGGTATGTGTAATTATGAGCAAGGAAATATTGTATTGTGTGAATTTGTCTGTTGTTCAGACGTTATGGAATACCTTCCACTGTATTTAATGATATACAAACTTAATCAGTTAAAACCCAGGTTTAGTAGCTTAAGTCTTTTTTAAGTAGGTATCATTCAATTAACACTTCTGTAACATTTTAATTTTTAAACAAGGTCACTTCATTTGTTTCAAATGTGGCCCTCAAAGTTCCTGTTATTGAATATTATATTGCATACTATATTGCAGTGACAAGTCAAGAAATATTTATAAGACCATAACCTTAGCTGTGTTTAAGCTGAATTTCTGAAAATTAATTAAAATTAATTTTAAAAATTATGTTTTGAATCTCCATTCAGCAATGGGAAATATTTTGCTACTTTTCCTTATCCATACATGAATGGCCGGCTTCACCTAGGACACACATTTTCTTTATCGAAATGTGAGGTAAGAATTTTTATTAGTGCTTTTGTGAAGCACTTCTAAAGAAAATAGAAATAGAAAATAGAAATGTATAAAATCTGCTGTTTTTCTAATGACACATTTAATGTTTATTTATTTGTGTAGTCATGTGTGGCTCATCACAGGTAAAAAAACATAAAAGAGAAATAGATTAAAAGAAAAATTCAGACATATAAAAATAACTAAATGGTCTTGAAATAATAGATCTTATTCTCTTTGTTTCAATCCAGAAAGTTTTCATTTAGAGCAAACTCTTCAGCTCATTGACCATGGAATTTCATATTGCTGAAACATTTATTATATGTAATATTATCTTTGTTATATTAATGCATGCTACTTTAATAGTATTACAACCCTAACAATAATTTTCGTACTGACTTTAAGAATGTATTGTTTCATGTCTACAACCTCTGAGGAGAAGAGAAATTATCATCTTAGAATCACATATAGGTTTACCTAAAACTGTCCCATTGAATGCAATGAAAATTATGTTGATTTGGCTGTTGTACCATAAACAGCCATCGGATTTCAACTGCTTCTAATTTCTATTTTTAAAAGACATTGAAATAAATGGCTTCTTTTCTTTCAAATTCTGTATCTTGCTTGAATTTTTCCTAAGGGAAATAAATTGCTGAGGCATTTTAATAAATAATTTGTAGTTTAACCATTTGTGTTTTATCTTCCCCTCTTTTTCCTATTCTCAGACATTAATGCTTGATCTCGTTTTTATGTGTCTTACAGTTTGCAGTTGGTTACCAGAAACTGAAAGGAAAGAAATGCCTATTTCCTTTTGGACTTCATTGTACTGGCATGCCCATTAAGGTAAAATCACTTAATTGTATGGACAAAAATGCATTCCGTTTCTGAATAAAAAAAACAAAACATTATTTTTAATCTATTTATTTTAATGTAGCAGGTATCTCATGTACACATTTGGTTAGTATATTGGAATTGCCCATCTTAGGATATAGGTGATTCTGGGGCATTGTAATACATTAGATTCAATTCACAAAAGATGTTATGGAGCAAAGATTTGTTAAAACAATCACTTCTGTTTGTAGGATCACACAGATACAGTTGAAACTGCCATACCCTTTTTAGGATTAAATCTAAAGTTTTTTATGGTCCTAATAATCCTTGATCATGTGGCTGATTTCAAAATTGCTCACATCTATGGTAAAATTTGCTTTCTTTGGTATTAAAAGTTATATGCTTAAAATGACCAGCCCAGATTCAAAAATTACATTTAAATGTGGAGTCCTTGGTGCTCTCTGAGCTTGTACGTTTTCTTGCAGACAATTTATTACCCAACTAAGTAATGTCATCTGTTGTAGAAGGGAGTGGGGTTGCACAGTGCTTCTAGCAATGATGATGTTACCTAGTTAGGTAATGAAAAATCCCAAGTTCAGAGAGCACCAAGGACTCCACAGTTCACAGTTCTCTTTTATTGGTACTTTTAAGTATATTCAGTGGATTTAGTACACTCAGTGGGACTATGGGAACAACCTGTTTCTAAGATTGAATTTTGCTTTTTAAAGGATTCTCAATTATAAAAACCGTTGGTAAAACATGGGTAGCAATGAACAAGCTTCCAGAAAGTTCCAGGAGTTACAGTCCGAGAAAAAAGATAAGATTAAAGAAAATATGTGTTCTTCCCATAGAAGAATCTACTTGGTTTTTCAAAACAGCTTTTCTGTTTGCACAGGTGGAGTGGAAATATCCATTTACTCTCTTTGGAAAAGTAATGCATAACATTTTAAAGAATTTGGCAGGGTCAGAGGATGAATCAATCATCCTTTGCATGGACCAGAGTAAAAGATGTATAGCCTTATCAATTTTAACTGTTGCCACAGAGGAGCAATAACAAACTAGGTTTAGAAATAATAGTAACCAGTTGAAACAGCTGGCTGATTATGTGACCAACCATAAAAATATATAAATGTATGTGGCACCATCCAAATCTTACATCCATGTGCCCTAACAGTTTACAGAACTCTAGTGTATTTTCTCTTAGGCATGTGCTGATAAGCTGAAACGAGAAATGGAGCTGTATGGCTATCCACCAGAATTTCCAGATGAAGAAGAGGAGGAGGAGGAAGAGGAATCAAAGCAAGAAGTGGTCATTAAAGATAAAGCTAAGGGCAAAAAGGTACTCAAGCAAGGCTGTAGTAGTTTTCCTCCTTCCTTTATACTCAAGGACCGTATCTAACTTGGCACACCATCACTTATTGTTTTGTTTTTTCTGTGTCTTCTTTTTTCTCTCCCTTTTCTCTATTCCTGCCATCCAGTTCTATATCATTCACTCTCTCTTCCTCCCTTCCCAGTGATAAAAGCCTGACTTGCTTGCCTTTATGAATCTTTTGAAATTATTCATAAAGCTACTAGTAACCAGCTTTGATTTGCAGTATGAATAATTTATGGTTCCTTTTAGAAGATTATTTACATCTTGCAATACAACTGTAAATTTGTAGGAATTCTCATCTAATGTGAAATATTTAACAAACTTTTCTGTCCTATAACTTTAATGATTTTTTTATGCACATAATGAAAATATTGCATTTAACTGTGAGATATATACATTTCCCCTGTTGTTTAAAGAGTAAAGCTGCTGCTAAGACTGGCTCCTCAAAATACCAGTGGGGCATCATGAAATCTTTAGGCCTCTCTGATGAAGAAATAATAAAATTTTCAGAGGCTGAACATTGGCTTGGCTATTTCCCACCTCTGGCTCTTCAAGATTTAAAACGCATGGGACTAAAGGTATTACATATTTCTTATGTTGTTGATCAAAAGTATTTCATTTTTTTATGCTTTTCTATTTTTTATTGATATGTAGGCCTTGGTTTGCACACCGACTATGAGAAGTATCTATTAGAAAACTGTCCAAAGGCATTCACATTTCTTTTGTAAATGTTAGGCTTGAGATTTGATATTCTTACTGAGGACAAACAATCTGAAGAATTGAAATAGTACATAAAGATTGCTTTTGCTAAGGATAGATAACCGCACCATATTACATTCTAATTTCAATATTTAGACATTCTAAAAGCAGTTTGCCATGGGAATAATGATTGCTATTTGTGAAATTCAAAACTAAATTTCTCCTTTCTCCATTAATATCTTTGGATTCCACCCTATGAATGGCCTTTATTTCATGATTTTCCAGGTAGATTGGAGACGTTCCTTTATTACTACCGATGTCAACCCCTATTATGATGCTTTCGTACGGTGGCAATTTCTAACTCTCAGAGAAAGGAGAAATTTAG